AGGTTTACTATATTTTTGAGAGACCCTACCCCCAGCATATTTCAATGAAACTTCTTTGGAGACTTCATTGCTCAGCTCAGTCTCAGGTTGGGCTATTCTGTGGGGAGAAGTGAAACTACTTCCCACATTGCCGAATAACTTCAGCCCTTTACTTCTGGCTGCAACACTTCTAATTCATAAATACATGAAAAAGCAAGATGTGCATGCTATATAAAAAAATGAATCTAAGACAGCGGTTTTCAACTTTTTTCATCTCATGGCACACATAAAATTCAGTGGCACACCAAAAATACATATATTTTTGCTGATCTGACAAAAAATAAGTATAATTTTATTGAGTAACCAATAATAATAATAGTAATTACCTTTTTACTCCAAAATGACTTTTTAAAAAATCCAGTGCCTAGTGCTGGCCAAGTAGCTCAGTTGGTTAGAGCTTCATCCTGATACAAAAATGTTTCAGGTTACATCCCCTATCAGGGCACAAACAAGAATCAACTAATGAATGCATAAATACGTAGAACAACAAATTGATGTTTCTTCTCTCTCTCTCTCTCTCTCTCTCTCTCTCTCTCTCTCTCTCTCGTCATTTTATTATTTGCCAATCTAAGGGAAAAGAGGTCAGTGCCCCTGACTAGTCAGGTGTTTCATGTTTAAAAAAATCACTGGCTGAAAATCGCTGGTCTAAGAGGATATAGAGCAGCAAATGCCTTGTTCCCACATTAAAACCCTAAATCCAATCCCTAAGGACAGCCATCATTAAGTTTTTGCCAATTTCTCCAGAAAATCCATGCCTACAGAGCAAGGCTATACTATATGGAATCTCACCCCTCTCCTTTTTTAAAACACAAATCCACTTCCTCATCTGTAAACAGTTCTTGAGTTATTCTTACTGCCTGTAACAACTATTGTTGATATTCTAAAAAGTGTTTGAACTTTGCCTGTCTATCAATGAATCTCAAAGTTTGTTTCATATGCATATCATGGACAGGTCTGCCTCTTGTTTTCAAGGCTATACAATATTCCAGCTGTGGAAATAGTGTAACCTGTTTAATTGCTTATTGGTGGACCCTTTGAGTGCTTTTACTATTATTAGAAAGTCTGCTATGATGAATTATCTTATATATGGGCAATTGCGTTTGCAAAATACATAATAAGAATGGAACTTCAGGAATAAGGGAGGTGAGTTTTAAATGCCACTTGCCCTCTGGAGAACTTGCACCAATCAACCCCCCCCCCCAAAAAAAAAAAAAAAAACGGAGCAGGAATGCTCCTTTTCCTGGACCCTGGCCAACAGGGAGTACAGCAAAATGTGTTGGTCCATTCTCACCATGATAAATGAAAAGTGGTGACTCATATCTGTTGGACAACTTTGCAAGTTGCAGAAAGGCCCATTAACTGTCTTACCTGTTAAGAGGGATGTGCTGACTCCCAGAAGGCCTGAAGGTGGAGTACATGGGCTTTGGGGTTGGTTCAGTCACATGCATACAGAGCAAGCCCACATGGAATTGAAACCAGACAATCAATGGGTCTGGGCTGCCTGTCACTACTTGAGCCAATTCACTAGAGACAGGGTTGAATCATATATGAGCATTTATTCCAATAACGCCGGCAGTATGGGAGAACAGCAGGTCACCCACAAAAATCTGCTCTCCACCTCCCTCCCTCATAAGCCAGCTGCTGATACCGGGGTAGAAGGACAAAGATAACATGGGGAAGTAGGCAAAAGGGATAAGAATGGGTATGCAAAATGGGCAGTTTACAGGCAACGCGGGCTGGAGGGTTTGCAAAGGGCTGGGGGGTTGCAAAGGGATGGGGGTTTGCAAAGGGCTGGGGTTTGCAAAGGGGTAGGGGTTTGCAAAGGACTAGGGATTTGCAAAGGCTGGGGGAGCTGCAAAGGGATGGGGGGTGTTGCAAAGGGCTAGGGATTTGCAAAGGGCTGGGGGAGTTGCAAAGGATTGGTGCCTCTAGTTTCTGCAACAAGGTTGTTAGTCTTATAGGCAGCTCCTGGATGTGGAAGATGGGCCGAATTTCCAGGTGACAGAAGACCTGCCCCACCAGGTGGGGGTTGGAGGAAGCTGGTGGGAACCAAGGAGGGGACCCTGAGCTGGAGCAGGGCAGGCAGGATGGGAAAGGAACCCAGTTCCGTGGCCCAACTCTGCCCCCACCTCCATCATTCCTGAGATTACAAGACATTCAGGCAAAGGTTTTCACAAAGTTGGGAATGAAAGTCTGAATTTTTTAAGTGTTTTCTCATCCTTCCCGATCCATTCCCTTCATCCCAGCAAGGGGACCTTGAAACCAAAGCTGTGGATCCATTTATATTTTCAGGCTGTGAAAACAGATGAAAGTGGACACAAATTTCTAAATCTGGTATAGAAAAGTAATTGTAAGGCGAATCTAGATGGTGTAGTTACTACTTATTTTTGCAAATTTTATACATTTTAAATTATTTTAATACTAAGGATTATTTAAAATTAATTGTGCTAAGGGGTGATGTTAATCCCTGTGTGGGTTTTTATTCTGGCCCAAATCCATAAACTTTATGGTGTGGAGAAGGGGAGGAGGGGGGCTCGCTTTCTGTGTTTCACTCTCTCCTGATGATGGCTACTTCCATGTCCCTGAGGCAGGTCAGCTCTGGGGCAACACTGCAGCTGGGAGGCTGTGACAAAGCATGGTCTGTTAGTTTCAAATTGGTTTTAATTCTATGAAGGCTACAGTGGTAGCGCAGTAAGGTGGGCAGGGAGCAGAGGGAAGTCTTGGATGGTCTGTGGGAGAAGTGGTGAGGCCATAACTCAGTGATGGCGAACCTTTTGAGTTTGGCGTGCCAGCATTTTGAAAAACCCTAACTTAACTCTGGTGCCGTGTCACATATAGAAATTTTTTGATATTTGCAACCATAGTAAAACAAAGACTTATATTTTTAATATTTATTTTATATATTTAAATGCCATTTAACAAAAAAAAAATCACCTCTGACACGCGTGTCATAGGTTCGCCATCACTGCCCTAACTGAACAGAGGTGGGAGGGGCAGGAGCTGGCCTGGGGAGGGAAGGTGGTGAAGGGCAGAGTGCTTGGAACCTCTGGTAGAAGTGAAATGGGTGGGAGGTGAAATGGACAGTGAGCAAAGCTGAGGGGGTGCTAATGGACCATTTAAACTCAGACTAGCTATTCAGAAAATGCCAGAAAGCATCTAAATGTGGTCAGCTCCAAGCTCAGTAGGTACACACCATCCTGCTCACCTTTGTAACCATGATCCATGTAGCAGGCTCTGTCCTAAGAACACTGTGCACACTTATGCCACGTAAAATCCTACCCCACGGTGCACAGGAGGAAACTGAAGCTTGCAGATGCTGAGCAGATGAAATTTGACCGCAGTTGGTGTCCCTGCAATGCCCATTTTTTAACCTTCACTCTTCTCTGACAGATCAGTCTCCCAGCAAGAAAAAGAGTGGATATTCCAAAAATTCAGTGGTCCTCCAGCCTTATTGAGCACCAGGGCCTTCATGGACAGCTTATCTGGTCAGTGGGGGGCCCCTGAGAACCCGAATCCTTAGCAAATGCCCAGGGGATGGTCCAGAGAAGCACTGCTCTAGGTCTCTAGAGTGCCTGTTCCAAACCTTTTTTCTCGCTTGGGGATAGGTTTTGCTACAGTACGTGACACAGGCCCTGAAGCAATAATGGCCTGAAGATAGGATTTACTTCTAAGGCTGGGGGTAGGCAAACTGAGGCCATTTGGTGGTTTCACATGGTCACCAGGGACCCAGGCTCCTTCCAGCTCAACATAAACCCACCTCTAGAGCAGGGGTGGGGACAGTCCAGCCTGCGAAATCATTTTGTCTGGTCCTGCCAAGGTATTAGGGTGAGTTAATGAAATGTTTCATCAAATATAGCAGGCTAATTTTTAAGCTGATAATTTTGTATGGCCCGAGAGTGATGTTATATCCAAATGGCCATTGGCAGAAAAAAGGTTCCCCACCCTTGCTCTAGAGTACAGCCAAGTTGTCCTCCTGGCCCAAGAATGAGCCAGAGCCAGTGGTCCAGCCATCAAAGCTGCCTTCCAGGCAGCAGGGCACAGGAAGAAAGGTCTTTTGAAGCAATATTCCCCTACAAGTCCAACCCTTCTACATTAGCTGGGACTTGGTCATTTATTTAGCTATATATCAAGTGGGAAGTCCTCTTTCAGGTGGGTACCTTGTTTCGCTCAACATTGGGCTTCAGTAACTAGAGAAGGGGAAGCGTATTAGGAGGAAACTGTCATCTGTGCCACCCTACACATCCATAGTTTCCTTCTCAAAGGGAAATCCTAGCTACTCTACCCCCAAACTAGCACACTTATCAAGAAAATTTAACTGGGGAAGCCACTTGGCCACGGGATCTCCTCTATTGGTTCAAGGATGATGGAACTTTCTAGGTATTTATTTGTTTACATTGGAGAAATGCAATTAGAGTTGGTCTTCAGGGCCAATAAAACTAGCTTCTAATTCTGTCTCCCCCACCCCAACCTCAGTACTTCCTCCTCATAAAAGCAGTTCTTTATCTTCTGTTCATAAGAGAGCAGTTAATATAGTTGCTTCATTTACAAGCAGTTATTAGCTCTTTAGTATTTCACCTGTACTCATTCACTTACCTCTCAGCTAAGGTTCTAAGGTAGGGCCCAGCTACCTACATTAGGTGATTCTGATATTTTCTAGAGTAAACTACATACTGAGACACCAAGGTGCTTTTGCAAAATGCCAATGCCCAGCACTACCTCAGACATTAGGGTACAGTTAGTCTGGGATGTGTGGCCTGAGCAAAGGTAATTTTAGTGTCGCAAGGAATTCCAGTGTGGAGATGGCCATGAAGCCCAGCTCCAGTACATCTGTGTGCACACCCGTGCCTGGGCAGGTGCTTGCCCCTGGACCTCACACCTCTGCAGGTGCCTTCTACTAAGCTTACTGCCTTTAACCTACCTTCTAAAAACCTGTCAAACACATTAGGCAAGAGAAAAGAAACAACATTTGTAGTATTATTTTATTTGTCAGAATTTCCAGAACCAGGGTCTCTACTGGACAAGTAGAAAAATAGAAAACTGTACTACGAAAAGGCAACTATGACAAATAAGTATACTCGTAAAGGGGCTCCTTGGACTCGAGCAAATGCAGAGTTCACCCTGGGCAGCATAGCCCACAACAACAGAAAGGAACTGGTGTCCCCACATTTTGAGATGTGTTTCTCTCCAGAGTTCTACTAGCTGGCCCAGTCCTGGAACCGGAAGCAATCACTTGCTATCTTCCACACTGTGTTGCTAGGTGAGGCCTGGGCAGTCAGAAGGAAGTTCTGGTTGAAGTCCCGTTGTTTGTTGCCTTCAAACTTCACTGTTCCACAGATCACAACGAGGACTGTGGTCTGGCTTGGGGTGGCTTCATCATGTACAGGCTGGCAGTCAACCACATTGATTTGGAACTCACTGGAAGGCAACATTTCAAAAAACTCACTCAAGGACTCTTGCCCTGAAACTGCGTTTCCATTCCACACCAGGGTGGCTGTGCCCATGTAGAGGCGGGACAGCAGGCGCCTCCGCTTATCCATGGTGGTGTAGTAGACGTTGACGAACTCCTCAGCAGCCCTGCAGGCTTGATCCACGTAGGTCTTGAAGTCTACGGATGCCATCTCTGGCTCTCCCGAAGGAGGCCTCCACCCAGGTGCTTCCTGCACCTGAGGGAGCCGGGGCTGTGGGGCAGGAAGGTTGAAGAGAACCCAGGTGAATGCCAAACTTTGCTCTATCCTAACAAAGAACAATCCTCCTTTTCTATTGGTGGTAAAACACTTAATTACATACTATAGAGAGATGACTCTAGTCTCAAACGACTGCCGACACCTCATCTTACTAAACCTCAGTTTGCTCCTCTTAAAATGGAAATATTACCACTTGTGGCACAGTTGTAATGTGAGAAATTGCTTAGTTAGAAAAGCCTGATACCTACATCTCAGAAAATAGTAGCCATTACTATGAATTTTAAAAATCTCATTTTACAAAACATTATACATGACTATGGAAGGCCAGTTTTTCCTGAAAGTGTGGATAGTGAGGAAAATTTATCCGGTAAAGACAGTGGACCTTGTTGAAGGGAACAGTGGCCCAATAGAGGCCAATCAGATGGCATAAGCTCATCAGTTGGTGACAGTCTTCATGGGTTCACTCCAGAGACGAAAAGGTTTAAAAAAAAAAAGTCAAGTTTCTTAAGAGGGTAAGAGAACAAATGCCACAAGGACAGAACCAAAACAGTGGCCATAATTCTCATGGTAAGCTATAAACAGCAAACCTGGCAGCTGGCTGGGAATGAGAATGGAGAACACCTAGCATCTGTGAGCACGAATACCCACCACCGGGTAAGTCCTATAAGCCACAATGGAAAGACAAGATAGAACCAAGGAGATTCTATGGGGTGGTGGGGAGGGGTATGAGAGCGGCAAAAATAATTTCAACTGTAGCTGCGATGCTACATTTCCCTCCAAAAAACCCAAAAACAAAAACAAAACGTCCAAAAGCATAAAGAAATAGTATTATTTGTGTGTTTGTTTTTTTAAGGGTATGATACAACTGTTATAGTTCCCTGTTCTTTTTCGCATGTCGGACCAATCTATGTCGAAGTTCTCATTGGTCCAACCGGATCATAAAATATTTCACTAAAAAAGAATCCAACATTACTGAAATAGTGGATATGCTTATAGTTACAAAATTAAATATTAAACTTTTCCTTAAATTTCTCAGACCTTAGTTTTTTTTAAAATGAAATCCATAAAAGATTACACAGAGGACCTGGGAGAAGTCGGGGCTGAGAAAAGTGGAGGCCTGCGCCTCCCGTAAAGAACTGTAAGGCGCAGGGAGGTAGCACCGTCCTAGGTCCTAGGGGTGAGCAGTTCCAGGGCCAGATGCAGACCTTGGTCTTCCCATTCTCTCCATGAACCTAGAGTCAAGCCTCCGCAAACACTCTCAGCTGGCATTTGCTAAATGCTTTGCACGCATTACCTCATTGAATGGTCGCCACAAATGGGCGAGAGGGTATGAGTAGCACTAAACAACAATTATACCTAACGAGAAAATTGAAACAGGTTTAGTCAAGGTCTTGAAAGTAAGCACACTCCTAATTTATCATTTATAAGAACGCGTGTAGCCCTTAAACATGTTGTCAAGATTATGCTGACCTTTTACTGGCTTATTTTTTTTAAAGTTCCTGCATTTTGAAACCAAGGCTATCGGAGCACAATTCCCGGATGCTAGTTTGAAAATTCCGTTCAGGGGCCCAAGTTTCTGTCTTGCTGGAATTCTGAACCACGCGGGGTCCACATTCATCGCCTGGACATAACCTCACTCCCTCTACCATCTCACGGATCTCAGACACCCGCCTCTGCTCCCCACCCCCGTTCCCAGCCCCTGTGGGGTTCCCCAAGTGGTCTTTCCAAACACAGGTAACAACCTGCCCGCCCCGAGGCTTCACAAAACGACCACTGACCACTGCACGGGGGTCACTTACAGGGCTGAGGGCCCGTCTCCATCAAGTCAGAGAAAAGGAGACTGGAAACAAGTAGGACCGGAGAGGCTCTGAAGCTCGCCGCTTCCCAGGGTCCCCGCCCTCAGGTCTTTGAGCCTGGACCTGAGATGAAACAGGCCCCGTTTCTGGTGGCGAGTGGCTGTCAACCGAACCAGTAAAGCACGCTCTTCCTGGACCCAAACCTGCTCCAGGGCACGGGCACTTCATCGTCAAGCGCACCGACTGCCCAGCGTTTCGCACAGGCCAAAGCCTTTCCCAGACCCGCAGCGCTGCCGCCCGGGCAGGGGCAACGCCGGCTTCACCCTGACAATGGAGGGAGGGCGTGGGGGACACACGTGGGAGATGTCTCGGAATTCCCTCCGACTGCCCGCCCGGGGATCACCTACCTGCGCCGGCGAAGGCCGGGTTCGGCGTGGGCGGCGACCTCGGTCAGCCCGGGTTGGCGTTGGCGTTGGCGTTGGCGTTGGCGGCGGCCCTCCTCCCGGCGCCCCTCGCGCGGACCAAGCTCCTCGGAGAACCGGCCCCCGGAGGTCGCGGGGTGGGCCTGCGGAGGCTCCGCGCCCCTCCGCTGCTCGCCGAGGAGGAGGCGGGAAGAGCCGCCCTCCGCTGCTCGCCGAGGAGGAGGCGGGAAGAGCCGCCCTCCGCTCCTCCTCTTCTTCCCGAGAGGTCCCTCCCGGCCGCCGGGACCTCGGAGACAGAGACCAGAGTCTGCCCCCGCGCGGCCCGCGGTGCGGTGAGCCCACCGGAGCGCCCCACAGCGCCCGCCCACCTGCCGTGAAAGGCAGTTGTGCCAGCCAGTGGCACGGCGAGCTCGCAGGCTAGCTCCGCCTACGTGTGGCTCAAAGGAGAGGGCGACTTCCGGGAGAGGCGCCTTCCCAGAAGACCGCGGCCAATCTACGCCGAAGTTCTCATTGGTCCAACCGGATCACAGACTCCCGCCCAAGGGGCTAGTGGGACCTCTGATTGGATAAAACCTCCAAGTTCCGTCCTGGGACGCGGGGGTGGGTGGGCTCTCCGGCAAGAGGCGGTCATTTAGTAGGGGGATGGACTGTGTGCGCCATGTGGGGGGCGAGGGTGGGCCGGCAGAGGGGGAGTCAGGCTGCACCGCGAGGGCGCCAGGAAAACCCCGCCGAGAGTGTGAGTGAAGCCCGCAGAACCTCTGCTGAGCTCCACCCGCTCAAGTACCTGAGCTGGTCCTAAAGAATACATAGAGGAAACCAATTTATGTTAAGTGGGGATTTAAACGAAAAGTGAGGCAAGAGTTGAGGGTGTGGCTCAGGCTTGCCAAATAGGGAAACTTACCTTCTTGTGTCCTGTGAATTGCGGGGCTAGGAAAACCGCCAGGCTCCAGCTGTCTCAGAGCTTGGTTGATATTTTGATTCTTTCTGTTCTCCAGCCTTGAAACTAGCTGCATTTCAGCTAATCTGGAACCTAAGCTGATTTTTTTTTTTTTACTGGATTTTTGTTTAAAACAACAGGCTCAGTAGAATGGAACCAGTTAGCCCCGCCAGTGGCTCAGTGGTTGAGTGTGGACCCATGAACCAAGAGGTCCTGAGTGCAATTTCCCGTCAGGACACATGCCTGGGTTGCAGGCGGAATCCCCAGTGGGGGCATGCAAGAGGCAGCCGATTGATGTTTCTCTCTCACCCATGTTTCTATTCCTCTCCCTCTTGCTCTACAACATAAATCAATAAAAACATGTATATATATATAAAAAAGAATGGAACCAGTTCGCATGGGCTTTGGGAAATTTAGAGTTTACAACATAAATTTAAAAATTTATTTCAGACACAAGATTCTCAGGTCCATCCACTGCTCTAAGGGACTAAATAATTCCTTGCATATAAATCTGTGGGGGCCCTCTGGGAATACAAAGTTTACTGACTTGCCCCATCTTTAGAATGTGCATGCATTCAGCTCGTACCTTGTTAGCTGCCTACACTATGGTGTACCTTTGCTTGAATTCCTAAGAGAATCCTTGCTCAGATTTCGGGACAAATTTAGAAACTGGGTGGGTTCTAATGCAGGTACCCCTCCCCCCATCTACTTAAATACAGTAGGTGAAAAATTTGGATTATAAAAAATTAAGTTGTAGATTGAGTAGAGAGGGTGAACTAGCATCTATGGAGCAGTATTCACACTAAAATGTTTTTATAAAGCCTGAGACAATAAAATTAGGATGTAATGTACAGAAATCCAAATCATAGCATCAATGGAATGAAAATGAGAGTTGACTTACTACATGCCCACTAGGTTGAGTATCTACTGCTTTAAGTTTCCTCATGTTTCCCATCGAAGCCATTTTTATTTTGTTAACAGATGGTCCCTGCCACCAATCCAATGCCAACAGGAGTCCACAATCTGGGGTGGTTAAAAGGAGAGACTGTTTTCGAACCAGAGAAACACAGCTTGGGTGGAAACCGAAAGGTGTGCTCTCCCACTCGCCCTCCAAAGGAGAGGCCCACTTTTATAAAGTCCCTGCCCTGGTCCCTGGTCTATTTCTATGCAAAAGCTGAATCCAAATTTACACATTTTAATTGGTTCACTTAGCATTGTCCGGATTGGTTAGAATCAAGCACCCACCTGGTCGTTATGGAGATGCTTTGATTGGTTGGTAAAGATGCAAAGGAGGATGTAGCACACAGTTCCAAATGAACAGGGCATATCTCGGTCAAAATATGATTCCAGAAACTTCTTTATAAGGGTTGGCTCCAATGGCAAGAAGTCTTGGCAGCCTGACCTGTTGTGCCTCTCTAAGATGCATTATGCATGAGAGGCCTGGGTCAGCAATGGCTGCCAGGTTCTGGTTATGAATTTGAGTCCAAATAGCCAGGAGGAGCCCTTCCTGACAGGTATATTTCTTCTCAGAGTCCATGGTTTCATTCTGATAACTTTGGTGGAGGTATCATTATTCTCAGTTTTACAGATGAGGAGCTGAGAGACAAATTAAATGATCAGCCTGGAGCCATAGAGCTGCTTCAAATCTAGAAAAGCTGGTTAGGAGGACATTTGTCCAGCTCTAAGGTCTTGTGAAAACAAGGCTTTAGCCCTGAGAGCCAGCAGAGCCAATAGCAGGAGGGTGAGAGGACTGGTTTGTGCCTCCATCATCTAAAATTGTGCTTGACCCATAGCAAGGACTCAGTAAATACTGTGTGAATAGACAGACAGGTCTGGGTTCAAATCATTGCTCCACAACATTCTAATGGTGATGATTCCCCTCTAACAGTCACTTCCCTACTCTTAGAAGCAAGCCTGGTGTTTACCTCCCCTGTAGTCCTTGATTTGGGGAGGTTAGAGACACTCCTGGCTCTTAGGCTCTGTCCTGAGTTGTGGAGTAGTGGGGGGCCTAGTTTGGACCATTGAGTCTGGAGGAGGATTTCATAGGAGATTTTGGGAAAGATCTTTTCCCTTTTCTCCTTCTGGACATGTGATATGTGGATGGCGCTACTGCAGTCATCTTATCCCCTGAGGGGGGAGCCCTTAAGGATGAGGCAGACAGGAGAGATAAGGAGAAATCAAACTTTTGATGACTATATTGGGAAAGAAATCAGCCCTGAAGTTTGGGCCTCTCAGTTTTAATAGCCAGTTAATTCCTTTTTAAAATGCTATTTAAAATTGGGCATAAATATAAAGGTACTGTTGTCAGTTAACTACTATAACTTAGTGTACTAGCGGAGTGATTGTGGCAAGAGAGTTAACCTCCTGAAAGCTCAGCTGCCTCATTGTAGAGTGGGGACAGTAATAATATCCATCTTCTTGGGTTGACGTGAGGAGCTAATGAAACAATACATGCTCAGTTTCAGCGCAGGACCAAGCACAAAGTAAGCATTTAGAAAATGTTAATATGCTTTGACATTTTGCATTGACCACAACTTCCTTATTTGCCAACAATTCCTCCAACAACTGGCTTTTAAACTTGGGACAAGTGTATTGACAAATTGGTAGGATTTGTCACCAAGTCACATGATCACCTCCTGGAAGACGAGCCTGGTTTCAGCAGTGGAGCAAGTGGTTCCATTTGCTGTGTGGAGTGCATCCAAGGAAGAAGGCCACATCTGGTCACACTGAGCCTCTGGCAGCTCTGAAGATAGACGACTTTTGGATCTTGAAGTCTGTAAACATAGGACTGAGCTTTTCCTCATTTTCAACATAGTTTTCTGGTACAGGAGCTAATATTTGTTTGCCAGGAGAGGTTGGAACCAGGCAATCTATAGCGATGACTGGGCAGTTGTACCTCTAATGCATCACCACCAAAAAACTAAATGTGTGTTGTTTTTATCTTCCTGACTTAAAAGGTTTATGAGCTACAGCTGGATCAGAGTGAGCTGGGATCATATTTCTGGGAGGTCACTTGAGGACCTGCCTTTTGGGGAGATTCTGGGAAGGCAGGAAGAACTGAGACCCTAATCTTAGGAGGTGAGGTGTGGCTGTGAGCACAGAGATAATGAAGTAGAAGAGAAAAGCCTTGTGACTAGAGAGAGGGGGGGAAGGAGAGGAAGAGCTAGAGTAAACACACACACACACACACACACACACACACTTGTGAGCTATGGAGAGTGGCTGCCTTATTCCTATTGGTTTCTCATTTCTTAGTGTGGTGGGTTATATTTTCCAAAAATGGCCACAAAAATATTGCAGTCCCATATGCTCATCCAGCACCTTGCTCATCAGGAGATGGTGTAAAGTCCCCTCCCTTGGCTCAGGAAGGCCTATGGGACTGTGTGAGGTCCTTTACAGACAGAGTTCAGGAGAAACAACGCTGTGTAACTTCTGAGACACAGCCTCTGCTGGGCTCTCGGTACTCATGTCCTTGAACCCAGTCACGCTACCATGCTGTGCACAGCCCAGGCTACATGGATAGGCCCATGTGGAGAACCAGCTGAGCTATCCTGGAAGCCAGAGTTGTGGGAATGGGCTGCCTTGGGGAAATGGATGCTGCAGTTCTGGGTTGGACTGCTGGGGCTTCTGTGGCATAGAGCAGACATGAACCTTTCCTGCCAAGCCCTACCCAAAGCGCAGATTGGTTGGTGAAAACAAGTGACAGTTGCCCTGTTAAGCCCCTAAGGTTCACGGTGGTCTGTTATGCAGCAAGCCAGCTAGAATTCTTTCCATTCTCATCCTTGGAGTCCCCTTGAGGCTCCAGGAGAGCGCCTCCAGCCAATAATACCTCCCTTTGAACGGTATGAACTCTATGAACTGGGTTTGCTACTTGCTACGAAAGGATCCCCGAAGACAGCCTCCCACTCCCAAGGCCTTAGAAGATGACACCACCTCAAAGAACTCAGTACATTCCTGAGGCTGACTCCCTACTGATTTCTGAAAATGAATGACAAGGCTGTGCTTCTGATGTGTTTGTATGGGTTGGTGGTGGGTCAGTTTGTTTATCTATAGTCAGAACCAGCTTCCAGGGGACTAGAACACCCCCTTTGCAAGACAAGCATATTCTCCCTGTGTGAGCAGATGAGGTGAGAGCCACAGCAGCCCAGAGAGGTGGCTCCAGGTCACAGAGCAGAACAAGGAGAGATGGTGGGTGCATGATTCCAGAAGCAAATGGCATGGAGCTGACAGGCCTGAAGATCTATGTTCCAGAAAAGAAAGTGTCACTAGGGGACATACTGAGTGCTGTGTGAGTGCTGACTGCCCTCCACCAGTACCACCCATTTTTGCCCCTATGAAGTTCACCACTCCTTTTTTTGTGTGTTTCTGCACTCTGCTGAGAGAGATCTTAATCCCTTCATTGACATAGCCAGGGAGGCGTGAATTTCCTTTCCTCTTAAAGATGACA